GTTTTGTTTTTGTTTTTGTTTTTTTTTCCCCACACACATTGGAGGTATCAGGGCAAAACAAGGAAAGTGCCCTTGGAGGAAACAAACAAAAATACACTAAAATTATGATCATTTATGAGCAGACTTAAAAAATTATTTTACAATAAAAACAACATTAAAACTAAATAGGTTGGGAATAAATGGTCAAATGAAACCACTTTTATTTGCATCTCCTTACAATATGGGCAGACATCACAGACCTAGAAACAGGAGAGATAAGCTAGGAACATGACTTAAAAGTGGCATTCTGTAAGAATTTGAATGACAACAAACTGTAGACCTAGACCAAAGTAGATACAATCAGACTAGCTAAAGTCTACATATGAGTTTACAGGTCATAAAACTTCACCTGCAACAATGCAGCTGCTTTGCAACTGTAGAAAACAACAACCAAATTGTACTTCAAAAAATCAGAAATAAAAAGGCTCAAATTATATGGAGTTTCAATTTGGATGAAAACAGAAATCGGGATATTCCATTGCTTTGACGAAGGAATCGCATTCTAAGCTCAGTATTACAGAGATATTCTAATACGCTGTCATCTCCATGGGATATTTAGTTTCTCAGTTTCGCCATGGAATTCCATAAGCCAAAGGCTTTACAAAGAAACTTGCAGTGTGAAGGCTGCAGCAGGTTCTCTGAGCCCTTTAAACACTCAGTAGAGCAGTGGACCCAAGTCTGTAAAACACAGGCACAGCTGCTTAGGCCATAGTGTGAGACTGATGTTCCCAATTAGCAAACTTAAGAGAGGTAAGAAAAAGGACTAGATTTTTGCCTCCAAAAGGACAGGCAGAGAGTGACTCAATAGGCGGAGGAGGCCGGTCTCCTACCAGATAAAGGAGGACACTGCTCCCCAGTATGGAGACATTCTGTGAAGTTGCTCTATCATCTCTTACTGAAATAAAAGACTGAGTCTGAAATTTCACATCAGAGTGGCTGTGTCCTAGATGGCAGAAGGCCCGATCTATTCACAGAGAGGAAAGAACAATAGCTTCTTCTAATAAATAGCACAAATTAGAAATACATGGAAGCAAGCCTCCCTAACTTGGGAAGAATTTTTCTTTCTGTAAGATGAAGAATAAGACGATTTTTCTTTCCAAGAATCCTGGAAAGAAAGAATCTTTTTTTGTAGAATCTAGTTCCTTAAGAACCAGTTTCAAAACCTAAATACAAAGATAAAACTCTAACATTTAGGAGTTTTCCTAAGATAACTAGGAATAAATGAGAGGAAATGATGTTTCAGATTTGTAAAGGGCAATTCCATGGAAAAAAATACATTACTAAGCCAGAAAAAAAAGGTGACCTATCAACAACTTTTATTGCAACTGCCAGATAGAAGAAATTACACATAAAATGTCTTCATCTTCAATATAAGAATGTGATTTGAAGAAAAATAGAAAAGAGATCAACTTCCCATTGCATTCTAAGATCACTCTCATTTTTTCTAATCAATGCAGTATTCCTCTAAAAAATACTTAACTGGAAATAGATCAACTGCAAGTGAATTCACAGGTATGACTATTCATTTGTTATGATTTTTTCCTAATATAACTTACATATTACAATACATCAGCAGAATAAAGATAGTACACAGTTACATCTTTGTCTAGCCCATGAAATAGTAGTTTACTTGCATTTTATTTTTGTGTTTTAGTGACCTCTGGTGGTTACATTTGAAACAAATTGCTGTTCACCGATTACCTGAAGAAGAACTTTAAAAACAAAGAAAAATTTAAAAAATGGGAAAACCGTTAATTCTTCAAAAAACAACAAATTAAAGGCTTTTGGTATACAGTATGTGAAAGTTTACGTTAGCCTGTAAAATGAGAATGAGGCTTCTTTTCTTTCCTAAAGTTTTTCTTCTTCTTCAGGACTTAATGTTACTACTATTTAACAAATTGTTTAAAGAACAACAACAACAACAAAAAGGTTAGGGGTGCAGATTCAACCTCAAAGATAGAGGAACTATCCTTAAATAAATATATATGTAGATAAAAGACAGCAGAGGGTAGAAATGAAGAGCCAGATTTTAACATGTAAGGGCCAGCAGTGGTGTCCTGCATGAGTCTCTATTAGGTTCTGTGGTACTTTAAAAGCACAAAAGAAATCACAAATAACTGGATGAGTGCATAATGGGGTAACAAAGAACTGCAAAGGGGCTGTGATTGAGTGATAAAAATTGGAAAGAAGACTTGGTGTACATAGCATGGTATACATAGGGGGCAAAAATAATTCCAGAATCGCATCTTCATAAGCTCTGAACTGACTTTTCACACTTGGGAACAAAATTTGGTGGCTATAGGAGATTGTTCTACAGAGACATCACCTCTGTCTAACAGGGGTCAAAAAAGCAAACAGTATTAGACGTTACTAAGAATGGAGGAGGAAACAAAATAAAGAAACAACTACCAATAGATAGATCACTCCTATATCTTTAGTCTGTAAGACCTAGATCACAGAAAGTCGTTTTAGATTATGTTGTTCTGACTAGCTACAGCTTGGTTTTGACATTTCCTAACTCACAGCAGCCACCAAGAAACTTCAGCTGGAGCATCAGTTGGCTCATATAAAAGGATAAATTACAGGATTATATTTTAATACAATATATAATGCTGGTTTAAAGGTTTGTTTTATGCTTTTTTTTTTTTTTTTTTTACAGTGTCACACAACATATAATAGCTGACAGTCCACAAGAAAGTTCAACAAACACACAGGTTCGTCTAGTTCCTTTAGGGGGAGCAGATGGGAACACAACTCTGTAGGTCAGAAATCCCTAAATGACTCCTTCCTACTTTTCCTATAAATGAACTATTAAGTTTTGTGTACTGCTTACAGTTATCTGATTTTAGATCACATATGCAAAAATAAATTTGAAGACATGAAAATATTTGAATACAATTTTTCTTCCTCATTCTAATTCTGTGTAAGCATCCTAAAATATTTTTAAAATTCAGAGATATTACTTTGGGAGAAAAAACTTGGAATGAATGTCATTACAGCAAGCACAGTAGATGCCTTTTGAACAGTATTATAACTCAGATTTGTTAATTTAAAAAATAAATCCTTATTCTCCCAATGAATGTATACAAAAATTAATTTTAATTCACATAAGAATGGGGCCAGAAAGTGATAATGAAAATTAATTTTCCTTTCTAGTCCTTCAGTTTATATGTCACTGGTCTCAGACTTAACTTGTCTTTTGAAGTATATGCATATTTCTAAAAATGCTAAATTCCATTTGTGAATTATTTTTATGTTCATATGGAAAAAAAACCAAAAAACTGGAAACATTTTGAACAAAATAATATTATAGCTCAATGCAAAACTACTTCAATCTATTGCTTTTACATACACAAAGCAGACTAGGATATGTATTTTCTGTGATGAAAACTGGGAAGCTAGGGAAACTATCGCTGAATATATTAGTGCTAAACACCTAAACAAACACCTAAAGCCGTCATATGGAAAAAAACCCAAAAAACTGGAAACATTTTGAACAAAATAATATTATAGCTCAATGCAAAACTACTTCAATCTATTGCTTTTACATACACAAAGCAGACTAGGATATGTATTTTCTGTGATGAAAACTGGGAAGCTAGGGAAACTATCGCTGAATATATTAGTGCTAAACACCTAAACAAACACCTAAAGCCAGAAGTTACATGCGCATCTCAAAATTACTTTTGAGTATTTTCACTGGAACTCTTAAAAGTTAAGCATCAGAAAAATCTGCCACATACAAAAGCACACTTAAATTGTGACCTGAAATTCAATTGACATGCAATTGTCGATACTGAAAGATTTTGACCAAACTTCAATGACTGTAACCATAAGAACTCTTGCCCCACTTTGTAACTTTATAAAACAAACGAAAAAACCTAGGTAATAACAACAACGTTTTGAGTTCAACTTTCACTACAGAATTGAAATGTTAAGCACCATCACAAGATAATCATAATCATTCTTAATATTCATTAAGAAGAAACCAGAGAAACCTAGAACAACAAAAAAATCCTTAGCTGCATTGCCAAAAAAAGTCAGCTATTAACCAATAACTACATGTTCCTACAAGTCAGATCTGCACAGTATGGAGGCATATTTGCTACGTGTGTTTAGCAGTTGTTTCTCACATTCAAACACCCATTCCATTCAAATCCTGACTTCACCTCATGAAGTAGAAATGACGACACATTCACACTTTACACAGATACTAAATAGCAGATTCTGTCAAGTTTACGCAATTTGTGTGCATGTGTTGCATGCAAAAAAGGACAGTAAGATCGCTTTGTCTAATCGGTCTTCAAGTCAACTACTGAGCATGCAAAATGAAAAAGGGATTGAGGGATTGAAAGAATTTTTCTTCTCCAAAGAAAATGACTTGCCCTTCATTACATACATTCTTCAAGAACTGTGAGGAATCTCAAACTAGTCCCATCTCAATTACTTTTTGGAAAAAAGAATTTCTAAGAATCTTTTGTACTATTCTTATACTAATTGTAATAATTATATTTCAGAATAACCAAATATGTCAACACTTTCTTCTTGTTACACACACATGCACAAGAAGTATGACACCGACTACTTAATTTTCTGAAAAGGAGAGAAAAAGGCTAGAGTTTTATCATTGGTGAGTAGTTCTGCCACAGATTAGTAAAGATCAGAACCACAACTACATAGAATAAACTCAGAAGTTTATACATTTAATTAATTGAATTAATTATATTCCCATTTATACATATGAGAAAAAATAAAGCAGCGTTCAAAAAAAAAAAAAAAGCTCTGAAAGTTTCTGACATAAATAGTAAAAGCATTAACAAAACTCCACCACCCTCCCAAAAAAAACCCACAAAAAAGAAAAGTTACCTCAGAAACAGGTACATTTTCTCCAAGTTCAGATGTATGGAATGCCAGTAAACCAATCACTCGAGCAACTTTGGCACGTCTGCATATCAAATAAATTTTTTGTAGGTGCAGAAAAACTATGTCAAAAATATCACAAAAACAATTACATCTTGTTTATATTTTACACAGATTGCTAAGGGCAGGAAATATTTGAAGTGTTATTTATAGCTCAGATTTTCTTCTTATTTCTATTTTCTTTGTATCATCAAATTATTTCAGTATTTCAGCTCAATTTAGCAATAAATTCATGCATAAAGACATTTCTTTCCTTTAGCACTGAAGAATGAAGATTCTTTAGTTTGTTATAGTCTTACTAATCAGTCATGCTCATGTTCAGTTTTCTTACAACACAGAAAACTCCCATAGATCATTTCAAACTTTTCATTATAGCTGACAAACAGAAATTAAATCTGTATCAGCAAATCAGTTTTAAATGTTTCATCAAAGAAAAAACTGGAATAATAAAATCAAAAAACAGCAGATTTATGAAACAAACAGCAGAGGGCACTATCACATCGAAATATTTCTGACAGGCAATTAAAAAAAAAGCTATCATTGTTATTTTACTACTGTTATGGTATGGGTTGGTTTATTAGGTGATTTTAAGTAACACTATTTGATACACTAAATTAGATAACTCCTAGATAAAATTTTTGAGATCTTCTATAATCTTTAGTCCTGTGAAATAGCAATATATTAATTCAGTATTGAAAAAATTCAATGTTTTATACACCATCATACTGCCAGTCAGGTACCACAACAGTCTGACAGGCTAAAACACTCCTCAAACACTTTGTTAAAGAATATCTTTAATAAAATTCAGTGATAATTCCGTATTTGAAAAAATTTATTTAAAATAATTCTTACTTACATATCCCAGTTGGCGGCTGCACGCAGCTGCTGTATCAATATAGGAAACTATAGTTTAAAGAAGATAAATAAACATTAGTGATTTTCAGTCATCTACTATGTCCCAATGATAAACAAAAAAATCAGAATATCAGGAATTTAATAAAAATGTATTTGGATAACATTTGCAGAAAGTATTATCATAGCAAATACTGTAGATATTGTCCAAACATTAATTAAAAAAAAAAAAAAAATGCTGTAATTAATAAAAAACCCAAGTACTTAATAAATGAAATTTATTTTGTGAGAATGGACAAAAATAGTTGGCAAATACTAGAATACTGAATGAACTGTTAACACACATAATCAGCCACTTAGGAACCAAACTGCGTAATTACTAACTCATTTCTAAAATGTTCTGTTAATTGGCAATTCAGTTATCGGATTATTGTCCCCCCAGAATTCTCCAATAATAATGGAATACACCTTCCAGCAATTCTGTTTCCTGTTTTCACAAGAATTCTGTGGCATGAGACCTACCATTGCTTCCAACCTGAATGTTCTTCATTGCATTTTTCTGGCAGTGCAATTTTGCCTTTAATATCTCTATATCCAACGATGGCATGTGTCAGAATATGACTTGGTTGCATTAGTAGAAATGTAGGAGAACAAGGTAGTTTACTTTTTATTAAATAAACTGAAAAGTGCACACCTCAGGACAGCCTCTGTCATGCTTTTACATAATGGGAAAAATAAGTCTATTTCTCTTCTGCACATGCAGTACTCTGAGAAATGTGTTAAACCACTACAGAGGATACTAGTAAAATTGTTTGTCTGGTAGAAAATGGTTCTTGAAAGGTGAAACCACCATTTAGGTATACACTAAAACAGACTCTTCAGAGAGCATGCTCACTCTTTGAAGCAATACTTAATTAAAGTTTTACTGTATGTTCTTTAGAAAGTTTTTCTTGCTATTCTTTATGGACATATGGCCAAATAAAATTGATTTAATAATTCAAGCATGAACTTCTTTCAGTCTTCTCTGTCACTTAATGATTTACAAAGACTAACATTTCATCATACATTATTTCGCACTCTCCATCAAGGTTAGTTTTTACCCCAACCCTTTTACTAATAAAACAGATCTATATGTAAACGTATCTGAAATCTAAGAGAAAGAATTAGTTTCCCTCAGTTCTTTTAAAAAAAACGGAGTTGGAATTTAGTCATTTTTTCATTATTTTGTATTTAATTTGCTATATTATTTTTGTCAGTACACCAATGATTTCTTGAAATACAACTAAAAGCAGCTGATTTTTGCTACAATGGCAAGTTACGTAAACCATGTTGATTCCTTCAAAGCTTTATTATTTACCAGCTGAGAGCTAATCAGCCTGCTTGCAACTTCCTTGTGGACAGCCACAGTACACAGATAGTAGAGTAAGTTCAGTTTAGAACGTGCTGCTCCTGCATTCTTCTCAGTGGAATCAAGCAGTGAACATACTCGTTGCAAGAAGTCATTCCAGTCCATGTCTTTCATAGATGATAACTTCTCAGCTAACCATAAGAAGCAAAGAAGTAGTTAAAGATAATGGATCTTTGATGTTGCTTTAACACAAAAAGTAACATCAACATGAATAAATAAGTTCCAAAGTTTGAATCTAATTATAATTTTAGTACTTAAAATATTAAACAAACACGTTATAATTCATGTCTGAAGATTACAGAAATCAAAAAAGTAGTAAGAAGAGAAACAAAGCATAAAAATGTAGCCATAAAAGCCTCAAAACATTTTTGAAAGTGCAACCCTGCTAAGTCCTTGGACTTCATTTAAGTAAATATTTATTGGCATTATATTTAGGAAAGGTAGTAGTTGTCCTTAATCATTACTAATTCTTAATAAGAAAGTGCAGTTTCATTAGAGTAAATTCGAGGCAAAAACTAATGAAAGTCAGCAAAATCTCCTCAGAATCAATAAATTGAAAGCGTGGATAGTTATTCATATAGGTAGGTATCCATCTAGCTAAGCCTTAGTAGTATCAGAACATAGATGACTTAAGGAGGAACACAAAGAAGTCAAGTCACTAGGACAATTAACACAGATCCTGTGGTTCAATTCACTGACCACTGTACATGAATAGAGAATTTTCAAAGACTTCCTTATCAGTCTCAATGAATAACTTCACTCTAGCAGCCATACCTTCCTTCAGTTTTGGTTAGTTATTTAATAATAGCCTATCTGCCGTCCTGATATGCTCCAGTACAGAATAAAGGCATGTCTTCTCTCTTTTACTCCAATTTTACATTTAAGTAACAACACCTACTAATGAAGGCAATTATAATTTACATTAGTAAAGGTGAAGAGTTGTAGATTTCAGGTATTTATCTTAATTTTTCCATACTGTCTTTAATCATTATTGACAAGCTGCATCAAATTCAGTATCTTCAACAGAAAGTTGTCCAGAAAAAAGCTACAACCCTGAAAGTATTACAACCACAAAAAACACTGTCCCATATTAAATAAATACAGGCAACATTAACGTATAACATAACATTAAACATATCAGAACATCAGCGTGATAATTTAGCTACTTAAATGCAATATGACATAAAATAGCACCCCCTTAGGCACTTATATTTGATCATTTTTGCCTAGGACATTAGCCAAATTAAAAATATTTTCTGTTACTACAATCTTGATAGGGAGACTGGGGCATGTTGCATTCCTTTCCAATTATAAAATTTCTTCAACAAATTAACTCTCCAAAATACATACTTTATAGAAAGAAGAAAGGAAATTTTATGTCTAGGAAGAAGTGCTATGTGAATTCTAGAAGGACTACATATCTGGCTGACATTCCTCTTCAAGCACAGTAAAGTGTAATAATACTTCCTTAAATAGACTAGAGGAAATTTTCCAGGGGAAGAAACATTATGCTCATGACAATGAGCAGCATTTTGTTTTCAGAAATAACAGCAGTCTTTCTAGACATTAAAAACAACAACAAAAAAACAAATCCCAAACAACTCCACACTATCTTTTGGGACATGATTCCCATAACATTTCATGATTAAAGGTTGGACTGGCAAGGCTGCCTAGTATTATGGCTCATCAGCACTGCACATTTTAAGATCCTGTTTTCATTTGCTTGTCTACCTTGTCAAATTTTAATCTATTTGGTTGAATATTTCAGTTTTATCTCGGTTGTTTACAAAAAGTAACACAGGGAAAAAATACGCTGTTTTTCCACACTAAAACAGTGTCGACTGTCTTATTTTAAAAGCTTTTGAGCATGGGCTTGTAACTGAAGAAGGCAGAAGAGAAAGGAAGGGTATATAACTGTTAGCACTTGAAAAGTCTACTCAAAATTGGTCTAGCTAAAAATATCACATATGCAACTTCAGTTTCACAAAAGTTACAAGTTCTCCAACTGTGACAGCTCATCATCTACAAAGGAAGGGTATAGGTCTTGTAATAGCAAATTGCACCATCATATGCAGAACTTCAGCAAATCCATACCCGAGTATGTTGGTATATGTAAAGTTTTCAAATCAAATCTAAGTGGCACTTGCTTCATTATCTGGAAAAATAAACAAACACATTACAACTAGTTTTAACATATTTCTGGAAATCTCTAAGTAGTTGAACATGAAAATACAAAGATGCAAAAATTGTACAGGATGGGTGTACAAACCACTGCTCATTACTGAGGCATTTTCCACTGTTTTCTAGTATGTATTTCTTCCAAGCAGATATTTGAGATTTAACTCTATGTTTTTAATAAATTAAATTGTTAGTATTTCCATTTAAGTGATTTTTTTTTTTTTAATGGGAATACAAAATGATAGGATTTTTTTCAGTTTACATTTTTATCTTGCTGGTATGCGGAAAAATACTTGCATTTGGGTTTCAAGAGCTACAGAAAGGAACGATGCGGCTGAGAGCTCATGAACTGTTTTAGCAATTCATTGCTATACAGTAAATACATACATATACACTAGATCATTCTAGCATATAAAAAATAATACTATCACCAACTAATCGTTCGTAAGGTATGGGTTTTTTTCCCCCCACAACACATCATTTTCTGGATGACTGCTCAGTGACTGAGCATTTGCGTGCGATTTTCAGTAATTAAAGCATACAAAAAAGATAACTGTATACTGGAATTTAGCCTTTGACAGATGAAGCCTAGATGTAATTACACAGTTATTTTCTAAAAAAGGTCTTCAATTCCACAATCTACAGAACACAGGGAAATTTTACAATATAAGCTGACATTTCAGCTTTTAAAATTCTGCTAGCATCTAGTAAATCCCTTTCCAGGAGATTAAATTGCAAGCTCTTCAGCTTTACCAGGTGTCAGTATCATCCTTTAGTCTGAAGATAGCCAAGTATGCAATGACTCTGATTACATGTCCCTGGAATTTAGTGGGCTATTTTGCATTAGTTCTGAGTATGGCATTGCATGGTAAGGGGATTAGTCTCCATGTGCACATTAGTATGTACACTTCCCCCTAATCTTATCTCTTACACTTGTAGTAAGAAGAGAAGCAGTGAAGGGCTAAGGCTTTGTGTCGGACTCCTGAGACAGAACAGAGGTGGCATTCAAATGCATCATTACCTTTGAAATACTCCACTGGCAACAATGTCCCCCACCCCAAACATACTAAAACTGTATTACTGGGTAGTTACTTTATCTAGCTGTATTCTTAATTTTTGAGAGTGTTAGGAATTCCATTAAAACAAACAAAAAAATTGTTATACTAAAGTAATACAGCAACTGAAAGCTGCAAGACACTCTGAATGAGCTAGATGTTCACTTCCAATGAAAAATGTTGCATTCCCTGCATCTGCCACATACTGACTGAGTAAAGTTGCTAAAACGACTTCATTTTTTTGCCTATCACTCCTTCTACCAATACTACACATGTGCCCATACATGCACATTACATTGTCATTGCAGTGCAGAGCTCTGATTCTTTTTTGGTCTTCCCTTTGCTGTCAAACAAGTGTCAGTTTCTGCTCAAGAGACTCATCACACACTGTTATCACATTAGAATACATATGACAGAAATTGGATGGACATTTCTTGTAACTTCAGGTCTTCTTTTCCAGAGCAAATAAGTTCATATTTACTAGAAACATTACCACATCTAAAGTTTAGTTATTCTGCAAAGGTATAACCCCTAATCTAGAAGGCTTCATAGATGGCCTTGTTCCAAGTATAGCAAAACACACTCAGTTTTGTACCCATTTAAGTAATAGATATCAAAGCAAGTTATCAGAAAACAAATCTACAAAAGCACTGAATACAGCATTTAGTAGTTTCTATTTCTTGTAAGACATTATTTAATATTAGTATTCAAACCCAAAATAACTCAGGTCTCCAAACTAGCAACACAATAGGATTATAAAAGACTGCCAAAAAATTGGATGAGAGCTTGCCAGATGACTGGGTGGAACTTCTTTAAAATGAGAATTATAAAATACAGGAAAGGAGTTTCACCCTGATTAAAGATTTATCTGCAAAAATAGCCTCACCCACAATTTCCTGAATCTTACATTTTATTTTGCTATACCTTTGGATTGTCAATGATTGGTGTTATGATAAGATCAGATTCAGTGTAAATAAGCTCTTTCAATGTTGACTCCATATCCTGCTGACTTGAGCACATATTTTTAGCCTAGAACAAAAACAAATTTTTTTAAAAAACTGTTTTGCACAAAAAAAGAAAGTTTATGTTTATTCCCAAAATATTTCACTTCAACATTATACCACACAGTTTGGCCATGTAAACAACATATTCTACATTATTTTTTATTATGTATTAGCAGATAGGGCCAACTAAAAATTATGATAAAGAAACATGTTGGAAGAAAAAGTACCGGGTCCAAAAAGCTTGCAACCTAAGTTTAAAAAAGTAGACTGAGAAGAAAGAAGATAGCCTTATCCCTTTTATACACTGAAAAAAAAAGGAGACTAAGCATCTTGCTCTTACATCTGAAGTTCTGCAAATATTATTTTTTAAACAACTTGCACACTATAAGAACGGCTTTCCTGTTATAATTATGGAAGGTTGGAGAAGAAAGTTGGCTTTGCCACAGACTCCAGGCTAAAATTTTAACCATAAAGATACCATCATACCTTAATATTATTTTTCTACTCACCTTTTTCAAGCATGAATCTCTTTGTGGAGAATTTTGGATTGGAGCAGTAGTAGCATCACTTACTTCTACTGCAGTGCTAGTTCTAGGAGTGGGACGAGAACTTAAACAAGAAAGAAAAAAAGGAAAAAAAACCAAAGAGTACAGATTAAGTTTCACTGCAAACTACTTTTTTTGTTGTTGTTTTGAAACTTTCATGCCATACAGTAAACTTTCAAAGCTGACAAACGCAAATGATGCTATGCCTGCTCCATCAACTGAACATGAACTTCCTGTCTTTAAATATATCCTGACAAGGTTAGGATTTGTTTGCCAGTTAGAAATGGGAACGACTGGGTGGTTTCTTTTTTTTTTTTTTTGTTTAATGAATGTAATTTGATTATTTTCTCACCCATAGTGAGTTCGCCAAACTGGATGCTGAAACATGATTATCTTAATTCTTAATAACAAACAACATACGAAGAGAATTAACTTGACAAAAAAATTGCAATTTATTTCACGTTATTCTCTTCTGACTACCAACTCTTCGTGAGGTAATGGGAGTTAAAAACTGCCTGATTCTCGTGTATGAATGTGAACTGGATTTACTTTTCAGTTTTGCTTTTTAAAAAAAAATCTCATTTGCTAATTAGAAAACGAAGAAAGAAGAGACCAGAACACTGCAAATTTTCAATTTTCATAAAGCTGCTAGTGAACTTATTTTTTGTAGTATACATTAATTTAAATCAAAGTCTTTAAAATCAACTTTAGAATTATTAAAACTGGCAGGCCAGGAAAATAATTTAATCAACAACTTCAAAGGAATGTGTTTTCTTGATTAGCAGAAAGTAACATACACATTTAGCTGCAAATCAGTATTATTTATTAGGAAAAAAGCAACTAAATTTAAAATGTAAACACCAAACAAAATTAAAGATACTCATAAAAATCAATGATCAAATGACTAACATAGTTGTTCTCATTCTTATCCTTATTTTATTAAAAAGGCATCTTTTATCTATTTTCAACAGAAATGAATTTAAAAGGTGCAATGAAGGAGTGCCAAAATATTCTCTACTAGCTAGATAAAACTACATAAAATGTCCTAATTCCTATGGTAGAAAAATATATCAGGATCTGCTTGGAAGTTCAAGCAGTCTTATTTCCTAAACCAAAAAAAAGTATGATTTCTAGCTAGGAGGCTTAATAAACTATTCTTGGTTCCCACATGCTTCAAAACATGTAGATTTTTTAAATACATTTTTTCCAAATCTAATTTGCTTTCATATGTGTTTGAGAGACAGAAAATGTTTCCTACTTTTCCAGTTCTCAGCTGGTTTCTCAGTTTAAAACAAGACAAGTGATCATTAAATTGAGCTGGTTGAAATTAATAAGCTCTCTTCCCTTTGCACATATAGAAGAAGCTACTGCTGCAAAAGCTGATTAACCACTTTAGCAGCTAAGTAAATTCTGGTGCCAAGTGCCAGGTCGGCAGCTTCCTTCCAATTTAATGTTTTAAAACTTTAGCAGGTAACACATGTTGCTTTGAGAAATTAAATCATTCAAGCAAAGAGAATTTCAGAAAAGCATAAATTACATCTGTATTATATTTCAAATTTTATATTAAAATAAATGTACTTATCATAAATAAAATACATTGTTCTTAAAAATACATTTTTTTTCTACTCTTATTCCTGACATAATTTGGATTACATGTTGTTATACCAAGTGTTTGTAATGCCATTGCAGCCTTTCTTCTCAGCAGATTCCTAAAGCAAATAGCAAATGCCATTTTAAATTACTAATAGCATGGTTTTAGCTGTGATGGTAGAAGGTGTAAGTAAGATGAGAAGTAATACTTTATTAAAACCAACTGAAGTAATTGGAAAAGTAGACACACTATCATGGACAATAGCACTATTTCAGGTTATGCAAGAAGCTTGAAAGGGTATTTGATTTTAAACTGGAATATTTCTGCTTGATGAGGACAAGAATAAAATCTATTTTACTAGATAATCTTCTTGGCTTGAAAGCTAGTACAAAGTTTCAGAATCAGGCCTCAACTAAAATAAATCACTGTTAAACCAATCACTATTTTTTATTTAAGATTGTTACCAATAGCTTGTGATGAAAAGCTGCAGGCACAATTTGTTAGTGGATTATAAGCTGAATGCTTATTCTTGTGTATTTAAAGTAAGCATATTCAAAGCATATTCTCATATATATGAAGTAAGAAGGGAAGAAAGTTCTAAATAAATTCTTCTGTTTAGACAGACAGCTTAGAAACCAAAAGCCTACTTCCAAAAACCAGTGTAATAAAGCCATAAAAGTTTTGCTTTAACTGCACACACAGCTTTAGCAGCATTTCAAAGATGTCTTAATATTAATTAAACTAGTGATAGAAAATTCAAAAGGAGACACACTAACAAAATGTTACAAACAGAACAATAAAACGTCTGAAGAGACAGAGGGAAAAAAAAAAAAAATATGAAGGGTTTCAAGGGTTTTCTAATTGTTCTTCAGGTTTCCATACCTGAGAAGAAATATCGATTCATTTGATTCACCATCAACTGCACTTTTTGGGCACAACTCAGTCCGAGTTTGTACTGAAAAGAGAACATGAACTTGCATTCAGAAGTTAAAAATAAATAAAACATAGGTAATAAAGCATGTTAGTAAGACTGACAAAATTCACAGGACACAAAACAATTCAAAATAACGTAATGAATAATATTACCTATTTTGAAAGAATTGCTTGGTAGCTTATTATTTGCTTTTGAGGATGACAGATTATCTAGATTTTTATGAGTATCCACTGGCTCTTTGGCACTCCAAGACACAGATGACTCTGTGTCTTCACTGCTGTTTAATAAAAGATATTAATTACACAGATTAAAAAAAAAAAAAGAGGCATCATATCCAATATTTGTTGCAATTATTAGCATACGATTTAGCATCATTCTCTAGATCAGCATACTGTTGTAACATGTGCTACACATACTTTTTATATTAGTAATGGCAATGATGAAAAATAAGTTTACAGCAAATGACTTGGAGAGTATTAAAAATTCTCTAGCTCCCTTAGTAGAACTTGCATGAAAGAAACTAGAAAAGCTAAATGATTACCCCATAATACCAGAGCTATAAAGAAATATTAAAACCTTTAGAGACCATTCAATCTTCACAGGAAAAAGTCACAACAAACATACTTCTAATAAGGAAGTCTGTAGCCTAGATTTAGATCAATAAAAACTACCTTTTTTTTTCTTAATGATTTACATGTCACACTTAATTGCAAGTTTATGGATTTTGGTTGTTTGGGTTTTTTTAATATACCCCTCTATTATTAACATGGAACCGGGTCATACAACCTTCCTGAAGGGTCTCCAGGATATCAAATACTAATCAAACCCACATTGTGAAGAAAATAGATACATGAGCCTCACAGTTGGAAAAGAAAAAGTACTGAGCTTCTTTTGCATGTCAAGCCCATGTCCTACGTTTGTCATATTTGTCAATTAGTGCATAACTCAGTGGATATTTCAGAGGAGATTAAGATTCTTCTGATTCTCTGAGAATTCCTCAAAGATGAGCACTGTGGTGGAGGCTGACATAAGTCTTGTTAAAACCTTGAATAAATTCTTACTTTGTGGTACAAACTTTAAATCTTGATTTCTTATCTGCCTTGGTGGTGAAAGCAGTAATAAAATTAAAAGACAAAGAGCTGTATCTCAAACTAGAACAAATGTTAATAACAAAAATACTGCAGCACTGGTATCAGAAATAGGTATTAAACAACACAAGAAAGAATTTTAAAATAGACAGAACATTAAAACATACAGCATTCTAAAAGAAAGCTATTTTTACATTAGTTCCCTAGATTGGAACCTAAAGTATCTTTCAAATATTTAGAACAAAAGAACATAAAAATCAACACTAAATATCCTAATTCAAGATTGAAAACAAAAACCAGCAAGGTAACAGAAGTTTTGAAGAAGCCTAACTTTTTAATACATGGAACCTATTATTCACAAAAGGTTTGGGTTTTTCTGCATATACAACAGTGTAGAGTATTACAAATGTACAAAAAACCCCCATTAGATTAATGCTTTATGTCATAAGCAAAGAATATGGGTCAGCCGCATTTGCAAGGATATAAGGCTGAACCACAAATTTAAGATGCTGTACTGATAGGCTTTGTGATGTGTTAAACCTAATACATAAAAACAAACAAAAAAATCTCAGTAGAGATAAAATTGACCCATATTTATAAGATTCTACAAAAGCTATCAAAAAAAAAGTCAAATTACTGTGCATCATTGTTATATAAACAAATAAATAAAAATGAGAGCAATTAGTTCAGAAGTAATTTTAACACATTCTATAGGCAGGAGGAAGGAGTCTGTTGAAAGCGAACAGACAGCATAACACACTAATATGATAATTCCTAAGCATCCAAAACTGTTCACTGAATGGTGTAAAACTCCTTTCATCAATTAGTTAACAACATGAAAATCCTAAGCAAAATTCAAAAGTGCGAAAATTTACAGAAAACCATAATAAAAATATATAAATACTTGTTCGCTTAGATTCACTATACAAGAAGTCTTCCTTGAACATTTGATACCTTGAGCTTGTGCCCTGGCTGTCTGCAGAATCACCACCACAATAGCTAAGGGATCCTTTCCAGAACGGATGCTGCAATAGGTCTGTCCAATTCAGCCTTTTGAAAAGCAACAAACACACTGAAAAAGCAGTGACAAAGTACAGCTCCACAGAGAGATACCAGACTAGGTTTTGAACCCAGTGACACTACAGAGCAATTAATCCTTTTGTTCACTTTTATTTGGTCAACAAATAAGTTTTCTTACAGGACAAACTTTTTGCCTCAAATCAGAATGGATAATTCACAGAGGTATGAGACTAAGAATGAAGGAAACTGCATAGCCAATCCCAACATTTAAATTATCTGAGCTACCCTGTAACTGATAATCTTATGTTATTTAAAAATATAACTATATCAGCTATAAATCAAAGCCTTGTAAAATAGATTGCTCTGGAAAAGCAAAGCCATCCAATTTTAAAACTGCCCATCATTTCTGTTAAAGTTATCTATTTAGCACCAGCTACAAAAATACAAAGATATACTTAATCAAAACATTAATTCTGTGTATCTTCATATAAGAAAAAGCACAATTTGTTCTTCTATGAGATATTAAATTATTTTTGCATTCTTTGTGCTCTACAAATTACTATACACACAGTATCATAGCAATTATTTTTTCCAGAGGTGAAAAAAGACAATGTAAACAATTGTCATGGGTTAGACAGCTTACCTTTTTTGAGGGTCCTTTTGAAGCAAGCCATCAAGCAAACTAGTGAACTCAGCAGAAGGTTTGTAAAAAGCAGAACCTGTCAATAGAAGCACTTGAGAAGATAAGTATTGGGCAGCAAAAACAACCATCACACAATGTAGATCAAATCATTATCTACAGATCATGCTAAAAAAAGTTTTATTTAATAGTAATTTCATCTGAAAAAAATCTGAATGTATGAAGAATCCTCTTTGCATTTCAAAGGATCCTCAAAAAAAAAAACCCACAACAAAAAAACCAAACCAAAACAAATAAAACAAAAACCCCCAACAAACCAAACAAACCACCGATGCTTAGTCTCCACCAAACTAATTAAAACTGTTCATGTGCTAAAAAAGCACCCTCCAATTATCATATAGCTATTAGCAAGAAATAAAGTGGAATTGCAATCTGCTTAAATTGAAATTGTATTTCCCCCAACCATGATAAGTTTAAGAGAACCATTGTTGTACCCTATTACACAAAAAAGGCTTCCAAAATTCTTATTTAGCTGAGAAAGACTCTATTTCTGAGAGCTCAGAACTATGAAATGCACTTTATCCGCTCCGAAAACAAAAATCTCTCTTAGAATTGAAACAAGTAACAACAGTTTTAATTCTACAGATCACCACTACATTACTATGGACTGAAAAGAGCCACTAACATTTAAGTGCCTCCATGAATACCACTGATGCACAGAATGACCGAGATCAAAAATTCCATCCCAGAAGGTAGATTTACTTTTAATTCTTAACACTAAATGATATGCCTGTCTGTCAAAAGGTAAATCAGCATTCATCATTAACAGGGAAAAAGTTCTTATCAAAGGAAGGCAATGCTAACATTCACTTCAGACAGCTAACTGATGCCTGCAATCAGCCTCGGAAGAAATACTGCAAAACAAAACTTCAACTTTGTAAGTATTACTCTGATTTGATTCATCAAACAATAACAGAATGTTACCCTCTGGTCTAGGTGGCAATGGATCTTCATATAAAATCTTTTCAACTAATTCAGAAAAGCTGTCTGAGAAGAATGGTGGTCTTCCTACAAACAAACAGAAGTGTATTTCACAGATTAGACAAACTTCAAAATGGCTAACAGGTGCAATGATATATGATGAGCTCATTTTCCTAAGGAAACATCCAAAGAAATAAACACCCTCAGCCTGACTTCTATTTATCAAGTTCTCTTGTCAATTTAAATACAAAACCTTGGATTAAATTCTTCTGCCATGAACAGCAAAAGAGACCAAGGACAGAAGAGGCACAAAAGATGGCGTGATGGAGGTCACCATGATAGCCCTGTATGAATCAGCAATGAGACAACAACAGGAGAAGGTCTAGGCAGAAATATCAATATCTATGTAACTATGTTGATTCAACAGAACAGTGTATTGTTTAAGACTTCAGAAGGTTGCACTATAATTCTCCTTTGTGATGAAATTTTCCTTCCAGCTGCAGCCAATGCTAAACAGGTACTTTATCTGCAGGAAACCCAATGATTCTAGTTTTATACTAGTGAAACAATTTTCTCTTTCAAAGGTCAAACTAATGCACCCAGAGTTTAATACTGAGGAGATTAAAAACATTATACTGTCAGAATTCAAGGATTGCTCTAATTTTAAATCCTACTATTTAAGCAACAGGTTGGTTAGTATCATAATATTTAGATCACAGTCAAAAGGACAACTTAATAGTATTACTTCACTTGATTATGTGATAAACTCCTTTTTTTTTTTTTTTAAGTACAGTTAGTATATTCTTCAAGAAATCTTTAAAACCTGTCTTAAGTTTTTTGCTATGTCTTAACTTCACTAGAAAGTTAACAAGAATTTACTCTGGGACCACGACTTATTTTTCCTTTATCACAGATATTAGGTACACAAACTTACAACCTGAGAACATTTCATAAAGTAAGCATCCCAAGGACCACAGATCACTGGCTTTGGAGAAGTCTTCTCCCTTTAGTGCTTCTGGAGCTGAGTATAACGGAGAGCCTACAAAATACAGTATGTATAATGCACTTAGATTATTCATTCAGCATTTATCCTGTTCAATACTTCAAACTTTGTCTCCACACTTCAGTGAGTTAGGAATTCTCTTCACTTAGTACAAGACAACTGAGATACCAAATGTAAGTAGTTTCAAAGGAACTTCTCTCATATACTTTTACTGAATTATGTAGGATTATACATATTATTTTGTTGTTTATTTCACTTCTATTAACCAAGCTGGCTTGTGCTACACTTTTCTAAAACAGTGATTAGTGCAAAGTATGGTTTGATATACCCTGACAGCTTCCAGAGCCAAGCAAATTGAGTGGAATGGTGAACCAACATAATTCTCATGTGAGTAACAGAAATAATTACGTTATATCAGGTTGGTTTGTTTGTTTTGTGTTTTGTTTTGTTTTTTTAAAAAAAAAAGCTATCCCAAGACATAAACCTTCATGAAATTAGAAAACTCTGTTACAAAAACAAGGTAGCTAGCCAACTGGATCACTGATCTAAAATAGTTATAGCTATTTTCACACTAAAACACTATGAAAACATCACATATCAAATTATAGCAGCTTATTCACAAACCCCTTTTGTGTTGATATGGAAAAGGAAATATACAGTTCCTATTTCTATAGTAGTGCCCACTTAAACACTAACTCGGTTCTCAAAAATCTCTAAAAAATTACACAAACTCAGCAAAACCGTCAATACCATAGTCCTTTAAAAAACTTATTTTGGATTCTTTTGTTCTTGGGTTTTAATTTTTTAAGTGACAAAAGGTCATTAACCACACACATCTGAACAGCTGTTCTGAAAGGCAACAGGAAAGAGATTAGATTTGTATTTCTTCCTGAATAAAGATCTGGTCTCGGTCTTAGTATTTCCAGTA